TGCTCATGACAGATTTTACGATTACTTGTTGTACAACGCACTCCAATGGTATTTCGTTCATTTCGTTTTGGCGGCTTTTGAGCGTTTTTATTCGGCTCTGCCTGCTAAATTCGCATTTTATAAGAAGGACTACTTAAATATCGTGAATTAATCCTACGGGTTTATTTAAATATATTTATTAGCAAATAGATATAGAATGTGCTCTTTCATTTACTTAGTGGGTTACAAATTGCTTTTTAGGAGATTTACATAACTATTTATAAAAACAAACGTTGAATACCCGAATAATCGTGTATTTACCCACCTGTTACACTTGTTTTCTGGGTAACGAAGCTGCCGGCGGTCTATATAGTGTGTGGAAGTTCCTACATTGTCCTAAAGTGTAAGAAAGACGCACTCTAAAACATATACCCTTTTCAGCTGATGTGAATATTACAGTAGTACTTCTAAATACGCAACTAAGATGATATAGAAATGATAATTTAAAGAGCCTTAAATATCATAAGATAACTCTCCCTTTAAATATGAGAACTGCAATTTTTCGCAGCCAAAAATTTAGAAGAAAACGCCATTTGCCGGAAAGCAATGTAAGAAAAATTACTGGTGCGCATGTTTTCTATGAAATATAGTTGAATTAGTGGGCGACATTCACACTGCTGACGTAGTTATTTTTACAGTGGTTTTGGCAGGCAGCTGAGAATGAACTCGGTAGTAAGCGGGAATCCCGACTTGACTGAAATTTTCGGGGATTCCCGTGCAAATGCCTTGTTTTATCCTGTTCTCATTGAAATCATATGTTATGATTTCGGTTATCAGTAGCCTAAGTAACAAATTCAGATTTTTGTTTAAAAAAAGTTACATTTTCATTATCATCGTAGAAAAAGGGGCGGTGTGACCTAAACTCTTCAAACGTCCCACGCATTTCTGTGAGAGATCTTCTTAATTAAACCTTTATGAAATGAAAGTCTCAAAACTCTTTCCCACCTCTTTGTACACATAGAAAAAAATTCAGGAAATTGGTTTATCTGACGAACAGAAAATATGTCCTGAAATAGGTATTACGATTAGCATAGCATTTTGACTAGTAAACGCATATTGCCAATGATCAGCTGCGGAGTGTTTTCGAAGTGAATACAAATAATGTTTCCTTAAGTATCCTTAATGGTATTCGCCTAGACGCAAGGATATGAATCTATAGTAGAGCCTTTCGCCTACTGTTCTAAGCCGCAAAACTTGGATCACCTGTTTTGGTACTAACTAAAATTGAAGTAAAAAAAACTGCTGACATTTGCATTAATGCTCAATGACTTTGTTGCTGGCAAAGACAAGCGGGAGACTGGCATTGCCATTTCTGGCCTGTTAGTCATCGTCGGCCAGTCATACCCAGCCCCAAGTAGTGCACCGCCCGAGGCTCAAATTTGGGACCTTTTCGAACCGAGTCTAACCTTTTAAAGCCGATAATACTCTCCGTCTAGAGTACTAGCTCCCCTGCGGCTGCTGCCAGTGCCTAATAAATGAGGCGCAAGACAGAGCAGGACAAATGAGTTCCATTACCGGTCGGTAAACGTTCATCAACGCCTGTCAATATCTCCTGACCTAAATCGGCGAGAAAAAGAACTCGTACTTCAGTGAGCAGAGCGGTAGACTCTCATCGAAACGGTCGTAAGTTCGAGTCTTGGGTGTTGCATGACTTGAGGTCGGGTATGACTGGCTGATGATGGCTAATAAGCCAGAAATTACCATTACAGTCTTTATTGTCTTTTGGAGCAATACTATCTGCCCAAGACTAGTAACCGCTGTGGGGCTGCTGTTAGGGCCAGAAAAATAAGACCCGAAGAAAGAACGGAAAAATGATTTCCATCAGCGTTTGCTGA